CTGAAACAGGGGCTGGGGATTTAGCTCAGCGGCACAGCGCCTGCCTGGCAAGCACAAGGTCGTGAGTTCGATTCCTGGTACTGGAAAAACAAAAAACAAAAAACAAAAAACAAAAACAAAAAAGGTAACAAATCCTGAAATAACTGCAAGTATGAAAAATTCTGCAAGGGGGAGGTTCAGAGTCACCCGCAAATGTTAGTCCACCCAGGGCTGGCAGGGGAAATCACCTGTCAGGTGGTAGTCTAGCCTGTGGGTTTGTGGATAAGACAAGGATCTGGGCTCTAGAGAGGTTTTAATTTTAAAACAGTGCTTTTTGAACAAAAACAATGAACTTTAATAAAAACATTCCACTGAGCTTTTAAACACTTAATAGGAGCTAAAAGTAATTAGGCTAATAAAATAGCCTCTTTTGTTCCAGTTCAATAAGTGCCTTCTTTTATTAACTTCATTGCCCTTTAAGATTTAGATTAAGGTTTGTCTGCATTTAGAAGAGGTCACATTCACCCAAAATCTGATGGACAACTACAGAATGTGGCCGCCTGCATTGCAAGATCCAGTGAGAAAAGACAGGGCGCTGCAAAACTGCAAAACTGTTTCAGCCCCGGCTCTGCTGTTCCTGGCCGTCACTGTGGGCATGGTTGTCACATGCTAAAACTCAGGTTCTTCATTTGTAAAAGGGGTTGGCCCCATTGCACAAGGTCATGCTGACGGGTGAGAGAACTAAAGTTAACACATAAAGCACGTGATACAGCATGTGATACAAGGAGGGCAGGGCCAGTTGGTGAGGACCCCTCCCCTCCTTTTACTTCAGAGACCACCTCTCCAAATCATATTCACTTTTCTTCTCCTCCCCTCCCCTCCTTTCCCTTCCCTTCCGGTCCTCTCTTCTTCTCTTCTCTTTTCTTTTATTTCATGTTGTGCTGCTGGGGATTGAACATAGGGCCTTATGCATGCTAGACAAGGGCTCTACTGCTGAGCTACACCCTCAGACCCACATCCACTCTTTAAAACTCAAGTCAGGTAATAGTGCTGACGGGACGCCTTCATATTCTGGGCTGGACTGGAAATCCCTCCATCTTCCGACCCTAAAGTCAGACACTCTTGCGTCCTTGTGCTGGTCTGACTTGACCTCCTCCAGAGCAGAGGCCAGGGCCACTCACCTGTGCAGCCCTCAGTGCTGGTTTGCTATCACATGTCTTTCCCCCGTTTTCTGTTCTTCTCAGACCACAGGGAACACATTTTCCAGTTTTCCTGGCAGCAGCAGGCTTCTGGAGGTTTTCTTCCAATTGGGAAAATGATAGGAGATGGGAAAGGGGGAAGAATAGAGAAGCCATGGTGTTCATTAGACTCTCCCTCCTCTTTTCGGAGTGACTTTTGGCAGTGGCCGTGTCTCCCATAATACCCCCTCTATATGGTCAGCACTGGCTTCAAGTTCTGATAACACCACTTTCTCCTCTCGTGTTTCCATCCCTAGTGGTGTTGGAGGCTTCCTGGTGTCGCTCAGCTCTGACCCACCTCATCCCTTATTCGACTTCTCAGCATCTCCGTCCTGTGTAACCAACCCCTGTCTTAAATTCCATCCATGTGAAATTCATGGCGGAACTTCCTTTTCCGTCTTTCAGGACACAGACTAACACATTCTGTGTCCATACCCTCTGAGAGAACATATGGCCCATGGTAGTCTCTTAGGAAGATCTTTTTTGGCTAAGTATATTTTTGTTGTAATATTCAGAAATAGTGGGGCTTTGCCCACTTACACAAGGCTGGGGCTCCACCCTCCACTTTCCAGAACCATGGGGAACAACTAAAGTGAAGGCTGACTTCAGAAAAACCCATGACCAAATCTTTAAAGTTCCTGAAAACTCAGATTAGTTCATTTCTATTTCATTTTCTCAGGCCTCTGCTGCTAATGCTGTCCATCTACATAGCAAGTGTAATCAGTGAGCTGAAATTAAACATCCCCAACCTCTGCCCTTCGAATCAATCACCAATCTTGCACAAGAAGAGCAGCCTGGGTAGAAGAACCAGCTCAGGCCAGCTGTGGCTGTCTTTTCTGTGAGTCTCTGCACAGATGCAGGACCCAAACCCCCAGCCAGAGCTAGCACAAGCACTTCCAATGACCACCTGTTGGGAGATTTAAAATGGATGTGGGGGCTGGGGATTTAGCTCAGCGGCAAAGCGCCTGCCTGGCAAGCGCAAGGTCATGAGTTCGGTTCCCGGTACCGGAGAAAAACCAAAAAATAAATAAATAAAATGGATGTGGATGTAAAGAAAAAAACAAATAAAGCTCAGTTTCAAATGACTGGAAGGAAGTGGGGTTAGAGGTCCCTGAAGATGCTGGAGCCTAGAGATTGCAGTAGCAGGGTTGTGCTGTCTTTGTCGCTGAAGCCTGGAGACAGATGTACCTGGGTTCAAGTCCTGCCCCTGTTACTTGACAAATACGGAGTTTTGGATGAGTATTTAACCCAGTCCAAGCCTCAATTTCCTCTTCGGCAAAATAGGCATGCGTGTCACAGTCCTGGGAGGAGCTCTCAAGAGCCAAAGGGGGTGTGCTTAACCCAGGGTCAGGACTGTAACCTGGGTGTGTTCCTTTCCCAAAAGATCAGTGGAGGGCCGGCTGAGCCTCCTCAGAGCTGTGGGTGCACTGGTGTTGCCTTCTTTGGCCAGCTGTGTTTAAATGAAGCTGCTTGTCTTTAGGGAAGCCAGCAGCGCAAACTCAGGAAACGCCCCCTGGTCTGGCTTGGTCACCATGGCCCTGGCTTGTGGGCCATGTGGCCTGAAGAGTCCACACGGTTCACTCTCTCCACATCAGCTGCTGAGGAGCAGGGCTCTTTCTCCCCTGCTCTCTCCCTGCCTCTCACTTCAGTCGTGCTTTCCCTTGCCTCTTCCCGTTCTCCCTTTCCTCTCTCCTATTCCCCCTTGCCCTTTTCTCTTCCTCCTCTCCCCTCACTTTCCCTCTGCTCTCCTTTATTCTCCCTCTGCTCTTCCTCTCCCCTTTTCTCCCTTCCTTCTCTTCCCTCCTCTCCTGCGCTCCCTCCTTCCTCCTCTTCCCCACCCTCTGTCTTCATCTCTCCCTCTGCTCCTCTTCCTCGTGCCTCCTGCTGCCTCCTCCTGCTGCCTTTAACTTCTCCCACCCTCCCCTCCTCTCCCTGCCTTTCTCTCCCTTTCCCTGAGGCGTCCTCCTCTCCTGACCTCAGAACTGGCCATGGCATCCTATCTGCTCCGGTAGCTCTGGCATAGCCTGGGCCTCTTCCTGCTCAGACAACAGGGGCTAATAGGTTCTTGATGGGACCTGTAGCCATTGGAAGGTGGCCATGGGGTTAGGGACAGGGCTTTGGCAGTCACTGCTATGTCACCTCACATGCAGTAGGCCCAACCACCCCACAATCTGCCTTCCAGCACCCTCCTCTCCCCCAGCCTGCTGATTTTTAAGTTTGGAAATGCCCATAGTACGGGATCCCAGTGTTAAAGCTTTTAGAGAGCACAGATTTCAACAAGGGGAATATATATATATATATATATATATATACACACACACACACATAAATATACATATATGAAGGAGTGTGTGTGTGTGTGTGTGTGTATTTGACTGCTATGTCGAACTCTATGCTTGGATCATATTTAATGCTCACTAGTCACTTTGAAGCAGGGTCGCACAGCCTTCATTTTACAGATGGGGAGATGGAGGCTCAGAGAGGGCAAGTGACTGCCACATAACCCCACAGGTGGTCTCTGTTCAAGCCAAGGGGTGATGCCAAAGTCCACGCTTGAACCACTTTGGGAGGCTGCCTGATCTTGAGCTAGGGATTTCTTAATTTCAAGAACAAAGCCCTTCCTTGGCTTATAATTTTTTTTTTTTTTTCCCTTGGCTTATAATTAACTCCACCTGTCTCCTGACACCCTCTGGAGGCTGGGGTTCTGGGGTTCTGAGTCTGGGTGTGGCCTGGGGGTGCAGCCTGGAAGGGTCTGTCTCCTTCCTCCATCCCTTGATGGCACTCTGCTTCCTGCCTGCCATGCCGGCAGGAAGTGGTGGGTGTCAGGTATTTTGTCTCAGCAATGAATAAAGTAATGAAGACAGGCAGCATGTGTTCACTGCAGGCCCTTCCCTCTGTCCCCCATGTGTCTAGGAGACAGGGTCTGCACCTCCTTGGGAAGCTCACCCACCTCCTAACACCTCTCACTGACTCCCAGCTCTGGCTCCCAGCCAGTATGAGGCTCAGACAGACACTTTTCTGCTTCCTTGTCACAGGGGCAAGGCATGATTGTTGCCTGGTCAGAGGACTTGAGCTAAGGTGGGCCTTGAGCCACATGGCAGCATTTTCACCATTCTATCCATCCCTCAGGATCAGTGATAAGTTCTGATCATTTAAATTATACCAAAGTGTGCTAACAGCATGTGCTGCCTCTCTTAGGATAAATCTGCTTTGCAAAGGAAATGCTGCCTGGTGGTGGGGTTCCAGGCTTTTTGCAGACCAATGGAAGAGATGCTTGGACCTAAAGATGCCACGGGTCCAGCTTAAAAGACGAGTCACAGAACTTGAACTCAGGCCCCTGGCACAGCACCTTGCACAGGGCAGTGGCTGAAAAGGCACACTGAAGCTGAATGGACATGTGCTCAGTGACATGCTTTATAGCACAGGGCTTTTGCAGACAGCTGTGTGTGGTCTGCTCAGGGCAAGTTGCACACTGGAGGGCATACATATCCTTAAATACGATGTTGGAGAATTAATGTGCTACCCAAAGCAGTGTTTGCCAAATGGAGGATGTTCAAGAATTAATGGCCAGAGAGTGTTTCCAGGTAAAACAATCTACTCCTACCCCACAACAAACTAATGAAGAAAGAGACAAAATCAAACAAACAACAAAGCTGTGCAAAAACAAAACAAGAACCACCATGTAGACAGTTACTTCCTCTACCCATGTGTAATTATAACAGCTCTAGAAATAAAGGGAGATAGATATAAAGGATTTCACCACATGGGAGTGATTTTGTTTTGCCTTTTAATGCCAGGTTTCAAGGCGGGAAGACTATACCTGTCACTGTTACACACTCATTCAGTTTAAAACCCATCCAGGCACCTTAATGGGGCCGTCAGGAGTGGGAGGGTCCCCATGCCGATTCTGGAGGCTGGTAGAGAACTCCGCATGCTCTGCAGGCCTCCCATGCTGGCATCACTTCTTTTTGAACACTTGACGGCACACCTGGTCACCACAGGTCAGCTCCTGCAAATGCAAGAAAGTGGGTGAATGGCTTATAAGCCTGCCCTGCCTTCTGCCCAGCGCCTAGGTCTCTTGGTGTCTGGGGTTGGGGCTGGGGTTGGAATAAAGAGTCCACTTTGTCATCCTGGGTAAAGTGGATCTCACAGACCCAAGCAGCTGGTGTGCCCTGCAGGAAGCAGTAATTTGATTTTGACACTTGAATTGAATTGAGCTTGAGCAACTGTAAAAGTGAAAAAATGCAAAGAAATGACCCTCTTGGGCGGGATTTTCTTACTTCCGAGATTTTAGCAGTGGTTTCCTAATTTGTGAAAGGCAGCAAAGTCATGAGGAAGAGAAGGATCTAGTATGGAGGAATGTTAGGAAGGTAGGGGCCTGGAAAGACACTTGCTGGCAAGCTGTCCTCCACCTGTGGGGCTTTCTGGGCTCTGGTGATTACAAGGGCAGCTGTCAGTGGCACAGGCAGTGACAGGGCGTGAGCTGTAGGAGGGCTCCCCGGGCCGCCTGTGCAGCTGGCAAGGTCTGGCTTTTCATCCAGACAGAGAGCACCCCAGGCCTTATTTGCACCTCACTGATGCTTGAAGGAGAGGAGGAAGACTACCACACTCCCAGCAATTGACAATGAATCCATTGTCTTAGCCATGGGTACCATGGGGTCTGGCAGTACAATTAAAAAAATCCATCAACCAAACTAGAGCAGGTAGGGAAAACTGTCAGCACAAAATAGAGTGAATGACTCCCATATATCATCAGCTGACATTGGCTCTGAAATAGAGATAGCAGGTGAATCAAGGTTGGCTTTGAAGGGCACAAGGTGACCTGAATGCCAACATTAGAGCCTGCTACCTGCCTGACTCCATAGCTGAAAGGATGAAGGAAGGAAGGAAGGAAGGAAGGCAGACAGGCAGGCAAGGAGGGAGGGAGGGAGGGAGGAAGGGAAGGAAGACCCATTCATTGAATGAATCATTTATTTAATAAATAAATGGCTGAATTCAGGGAGTACTGAAAAAAATGTTCACTATTTGAATGCTAAGCCCATGAATTGCCTTGAAGACTGAGGAATGAAAAATTACGCTGTCTAGACACAGATACAGTTATTTAAGGATATTCGCCATGGCTCCTACTATCCTGTTCTAATACCAAATTAACCGAAAATATTTTGGGGCCAGGTAGACATACCTCCTGATGACAGGTCAATGTCCTCAGGCCCAGCTGCCCACCCCCTACAGCCCACCCTCCTCTCCCTACCAGGCTTATAATTGACAGAAGACCTGGTCTTACCCTCCTCCAGGGCATCTTAATTCTGTGGCTCACATTTCTCCCCAGTTGATCTTTAACAGGTTCCCTGCATTTCTCCTTGGATTGTGGCTTCCTAGCTCAGCATTTTAAACTTTCTTTTTAATTGCAGCCGTTCACGGAAACAGCCATATAGATTTCTTCCTGGAGTCCCCTGAGCCGGATGGGAATGGCTTTCTGACTGTATGACTATGTATATTTGGCTGGAGCTCAGGGCCATTTTTCTTGTTGCAGTGCCCAGCCAGGTGGCCACGGGAGCGTGTGTAAGCACAGTGGAAGGAGCTGGGCAGCCCCAAGACTTACCAGATACAGTTTGTCGCCCTCCACCCACTGCCTCCAGCCGCGGTTCTCTTTCTCTCCCTTCTGCACACACACAAGGACGTCACCTTCCCAGATGACCAGCGTCTGCAATGACAGGTTCCCAGGTGAATTAAACTTCTGGTCAGGGAGACTCCACAAGCTTCAACCTGTAGCTGTAATTGCTGAGGCCGCTGCCTGGCTCCTGCGTCCCACAGGGCAGAGCCCTGGCCTCCGTGACCCAAGATCCTTTCAATCTCATTTTCACAGGGCCAATAGCTTTTTCATCTCATTTTTCACAGGCATCCTCCATTCCAGCCACAGTTTGTATAGGCTTGCTCTGTTCTCTTTTAAGGAATTCTATTTGTAACATATGGTAAAGACAGCATTTCAAATCGGTGGGGAAAAGGTGATGAATTTGACTATTAACAGTGCAAACTTTCTGGAAGGGGAAAATACCTCAAAGCCAACAGATAAATACAAACAGAGAAAAAGAATTGAAGCACATCAGCAAAGACCTGATTCCCTTATATATAAAGGACTCTTGTCAATCAAAATGAAAAAGATCATTAATCTAATAGCTGATGTCAACCAAGGACATGAACCAGCAATCACAAGGAGAGAACTCCCTAGCAGATGACTTTAAACCCAAGAAAAGGTATTCACCCTCACTCATAATAAGATAAATGCTAATACGACTACTATTCAGGTATTCATCATGTGGTCAAAGGCCAAAGACTTTGGTGATTCTCTGAGTTGGAGTAGGGGTGGAGAAGCACATACAAGGCAGGTGGGAGAATATACATTTTAGAGAGAAAGTTCATATTACCTTTCAAATTACAAAAGTGCATATGTTCTTTGACATAGAATTCTACTTTAGGAATTTTTCCTGCAGGAGTCACATTGTGAGGACTGTCCCCTGGAGGATGGGAACAAAGGCAGGGAAGCTTCTAAGTAATCTGAGAGCCAGCCAGATGGCTCCGGTGCCAGCCTTTTCATATAAACCCAGAGGGTGGACCTGCTCCTGTGTCTTGGTTTCCTCCAGGCAGTCACGCCAACCTGTTAGAAGCACAGGGACATTGGCAGAAATCACGTTGGCCAACCAAGGTGAATAATCAGCAGCTGGGAGAAGCCTCGAGCCTGCTGGCAACCATGAGTACTCAAACTCTTGTGCACATATCTACAAATATTTCAACCTTCAAACTCCTTCTTTTTCTGTTCCCCACTTTCCCTCCTAATATCTGCAGTGAGACAGTCTGTATGACCCCCAGGTAGCCCGCCACAGCCGCCCTGCTCTGTGCCCAGATTAGGTTTGCCCATGTAACTACTGAGATAATTATGCATTTCTATCCGAGAAATAGACATGTATGTTCTGCCCTTCCTCAGGATGACCTGGATGCAAGTTGCTTTTTCCTTCTCAGTATACACAATCTACCTTATGCCTCTATGAACAGCATGATGCTAAGGACCAGATGTTTACTTTTCCTTCTATCTTGCAAACCCCGCTGGTGATAAACTAACCTGTGGGTTTTCCCCAAGATCAGAAAATGGTTAAAATTCTATAATTCAATTTGCTTTTAGTTGATGCCTTTCATCCTGTGTCAGAAGAGGTTTTAAAAACAGACTCAATTTCTTTAAAAGATCCTTAGGTTGAGGAAATGGATTCAGGTGAGGAGATCCATTGCTTCTGATGGAACAGACCAAAAGGGAGAGTGGCCCAGGGGTGGACAGGCCTGCATAGGATGGAAGAAGGAAGTCGCCCATGTTGATTTCCTCTCTCACAGTCTCCTTGTGCACTTGGGCCTGCTATTTAGTACAAGTCTGTTTTCTACAGGTTGTTAAATCCACCTATTTTTAAAATAATATTTGACCTTGACCATGTTATATACTTTATGTATAATTTTATTCCTCCTCATTTTACTCCCCAGTGCATTGCAGCGTTGTTTGTTACAGCAAAGAACTGGAAGCTTCATAAATTCTGTCAGTGGGTGGCTGGTTAAATACGGGGTGTTATGCAGTCATTGAAAGAATGTGGCCACCGAATCACGTTTGGGTTTTTTAAAATAGTAAAGGGCAGAGCCCTGTACATAAAACAAGGGGTTTGGGTGGGAAGTATATAGCCATGCATGTGCTTGTACATGTTCTGTACAAGGAGTTGAAAGAAACCGGTAGTAGCGATCATCCCTCAGGAAAGACTGAGCCAGTGGGCCAGAGTAGGGAGGAAATCTCACTTTTTACTGTTAAAAACGTTTTTAGGGGCTGGGGATTTAGCTCAGCGACACAGTGCCTGCTTGGCAAGCATAAGGTTGTGAGTTCAATTCCTGGTACTGGAAAAAAAAAAGAAAAATGTTTTTAACCATCTGCACATATTAATATTCCAAAAAATTAATTTAAAACTAAAATTTTATGCATTTTCTAAAGGAAAAAAAAAACTCTTCCTCCTGCAAGGTCTTCCTAAGCCTCATATGTTGGAAGATCTTACAGCAGCTCAAGTCACAGGTTGCTCCCTTTGCTCTTTTGGGAGGGATAAATGCCTGGAATACTCATTTGCTGTCACCCGTCTCTGGCCTTGCACTCTGAGGCTGCTCCCTGGAGATGAGAGGATTGTGGTCTCCAGTCAGGCCAGGACTGTATCTTCCATTCTCCCTGCTCCCATGTCACCTTGCACCTGATGGAGCCCTGCTACATGCTGGTTGAAGGGATGTCCACCTTCCTCCGCAGACAGCAAGCTCCATGAGAGAAGAGACTGCATCACTGTTCCCTTCTGAAACACCACGCTCAGCACAGTGATCAGCACTGCTGAATGAATCTTTGCTTGGATGATTTTGCTGAAGCAGAATCTTAAGGTACATTCACTTGTCTCTTTGCATTGCAGGAGGTCCCACATGTGCCTATCAAGGTCGACGTGATATAGTCCTTGTCCATCCATTCATCTGTGTTCCCATAAGGCTCAAAATCCCTGAGAGCAGGAAAGAGGCTCTGATTCATCATTTTATCTTTAGCTCCTGACACAGGTCTGGCATATAGTAGGCACTTAGTGAATTTCGCAGAAAGAAGTTGAGGAGAAAAATGTTAGAGCATGGGGCCTGTCCTAATATTTTATTTTAATAACTTACATTGGCCAGCAAGATGATAACTTATTTTGACCCTAAAGTAAATTGGTTACCAATGAATCATGGTAATACTTAAAATATTACAGACTTATTCCTACATAAAACAGACGGTGAGAGGCAGAAGGAAGAGGTTAGGTGAACTAAAATTCTATAATTCAGTTTGCTTTTAGTTGGTGCCTTTCATGCTGTGTCAGAAGAGGTTTTAAAAACAGACTCAATTGCTTTATTTTTTTTTTTTTTGTTTTTGTTTTTTGTTTTGAGACAGGGTCTTGTTATGCAGTTCAGGCTGGCCTTGAGCTCACTATGTAGCCCAGGCTGGTCTCAAACTCACAATGATTCTCCTGCCTCTGCTTCCCAAGTGCTGGGATTACAAGCACGTGCCACCACGCCCAGCTTCAATTGCTTTAAAAGATCCTTATGTTGAGGAAGTGGATTCAGGGGAGGAAAGCCATTGCTTCTGAGGGAATGGATCAAGAGTGAGAGTGGCCCAAGGGCGGGCGGCCTGCACGGAATCAAAGAAGAAGGTTGCCCACCTTGATTTCCCCTCTCACGGTGTCCAAAGTTAGCATCCATATAATGTGTCTTTGTGGTGAACTAGATGCAGTTACTATATCAGTGTTCAATTTGTATAGCTACACTATAGGATATCTAAGAGAATACAGTACCCTAGTTCTTTGAAAGTATATGCTGAATTATTTTGGGGTAACGTATCACATTGGTCAGAAAAAAACATATATTAGGAAGAGAATGCATGCAAATGATAAGCAACTGGAACAAAATGTTAGCAATAAGTGACTCTGGGCTAAGAGAATACCAACGTTCCTGGTTATATTCTTGTAGCTTTTCTATAAAAAATTGAATCACTCGCCGATAAGTTCTATAAAAAGGAAGTTATACAACCACCATTGTTAATTCCCTACCACTTTGTTTGTAACTCTGTATTGTCTGTATTGTGCTTGTGATATGTTGTAAAATGTTGTATGTCTGTTAATGTTTCCCTCCTTTTATCTTTAAAATAAAAAAAAAAAAAGGAAGTTAGCAGCTCTTTAAATGAAGAGCATTGAGGAACATTATTAACAGGCTTAGGGGCTCCCCTGCCCCTGTCCTCGTACAAGTGTTCCTCTGGCTTCCTGCAGGCTGGCCCCCTCCTCTGGCACTTCCTGTGTGCTGCCTCCTGAGGGGATAGTTTCTCCCCACCACCTGCTGCCCCTGCTCAGGGTGCTTCCCTCTCCTCCTGGCACTGCTACATACTACTGACTCTAACTGCAATTGACTACACTTTTTTTTGAGACAGAATCTAAGTCACTAAATTACCTCAGCTGGGTTTGACCTTGCAATTCTCCTGCCTCAGCCTCCAGAGTGCTGGAGTTACAGGTGTGCGCCATCATACTCAGATAGTTATTTCTTTATTGAGATACAATTCACAAATCATACAATTCACCCTCTTAAAGTGTGCAAGATGGGGTAACCATCATTCCATTCATTACCCCACAAAGAAACCGTGTACCTATTAGCAGTCACTATCCTTTCCCTCAGTCGCTTATCCTCTAGCAAACACTCTCTGTCTCCATGGATTTGCCTGTTCTACGCATTTCACACAAATCATATGATATGTGGCCTTTTGTAGGCAACTGCTGTTACTTAGCCTGTTTTCCAAGCTCATCCGTGTGGTCACATGAGTCAGTATTTCCTCTGCTTTCATAGCTGCATGATATCCCGTATCCCACTGCATAGATAACAATTATATTTTATTTGGAAGTAGTTTATGTATTTCTAAAGGGGCTTCTTAAAAACAAATCAGAATAGGCATTTGAAATATATATATGATCCATGGGAAGGAAGGCAGGTTTCTAGGTTCCTCAAAGAAGTGTCAACCCCGAGGCAGATGTGAAGCCAAGGCTGGACTGGCTTAGAAAGGGGCATTTCAGGGTCCCGCATACCTTTCCTCCAAGCTAACAAGTGGGGAGCTTTTCAGAGAGTTCCTGAGGGTAATCAAGGATTCGAGATATGAAGCCTACAGAACAGGGACATGAGGAGTAAGATGTATACACACATATACACACCCATATGTGTACACATATGTGAACACATGTACACACATGCACACACGTACACATGCACAGGCACACCTACAGAGCTGGTGTGTATGCTTAGGCATGCCACCTGAGTTCAAATCAAGCAGAAAAACAGACTCATCCACTCCCTGGTGTGCTCTTCCAGCTGAAGGGGTTTAGTCCAGTGATGAAAAATATATAGTCCTGAAGGCACCTGCTTTGCACTGTGGTTCTAATGGAAATGGACCTCTGACCAGCATCCAGCTGGGCAAACCTCCTGGAAATGTCCCACCTCACCAGTCTTCTGGTGTGTGTGTGTGTGTGTGTGTGTGTGTGTGTGTGTGTGTGTATCAGCCTTGGCTTTCTGCTGCAGACAATGAGGAAATGAGCCATGGGAAAGAGGGTTCTGTCTCTCTGCAGAGCTAACTGTTGTTCCTGTGGAGAGGAAGGGGAATGGGAAGTGGAGAGGCTGAAGAAGGGTAGGTGTGGAGAGCTGCAGTCCTTTGAGGGTCAGGGAAAGCCAGAAGAACATGACTTACTTCAGGTAGAGCAAGTTCTAGACCATCAAAGGTGAAAAAGAACAAGTCAGAGAGGACAGGCCTGCTTTTTGAGGGAAAATGAATTATTTTGAACTGATTAGGTTGGAATGGCAGAGTGATGTAAAATTCAGAGACAGATTTTCCTATCGATTCTGGTGTCTGGCGAATTGGCTTTTCAACCATGTTCAGAAGAGGCTCAGTGATCCATCATCTGCTCAGGAAAAAGGTTTCTACAAGCGGATATTCCAACATCTGGAAGCTTATGTTCTCTTATGACGGGGCTGCTCTGATGAAAGAACTCCCAACATGCTTTTTAACCTCTCCCTTTTTCTTTAGCAAGGAGCAATAAATGTAATTGAACTTGGTGACTGAAGTTTTCAATACTGCAGGACAACTTGATTGAAAAATGTGTCCTCCTCTCTTGGCTTCAGAGTCCCCCACCCAAAAAAAATTACGTTTTCCTCCCACCCCAGGAGAGGAGTCAGAGTTTGTGTCCCTTGATGTAGCGGAGTTGAGACTTTAAAAGAGCTCCTGACAGCACAGGGTGGTGACCTGCCCCTGGGACAAGTGCTCTCTCTATGGAAGGCACTTTGCTGGGGGCAAGGCACACAAAGCTGAGGATGGAATATTCAGCTCTCTCCTTTTTTAGCTTGAGAACCAGACAGAGGTTCTGTTGGCTGGTTTGGAGAGAGGAAAAGGCTGCTATGAATATCAAACTCCCATTCTTGTGCACATTGCAAGGGCAGCACCAGTCAAGGGCAACCATGCCCCATGACAAAGCAGTAGCCCTTCCAAGTCTCCTGGATGATGTAATCTCTGGGGTTCTGTAGGATGCAGGGGTTGGAGGAGGGTCATTATACAGGACTGAAATTGATTTCTTTGTATTCCTGTTTGGAGGGGACTTGCCAGGCATAATTTGATGTGGAAAATCAAAGATAGGCATACGGGAGAGTGCAAATGTGAACATGGTGATACGCTCAAAGATGGAGAGGGAGAGAAGCCGTTGTCCTCTCGCTCCCATTTTCTTACTGCTTACTAGTCTCTGCCTTATTTATGAGCAGTGCCTTTGGACAAGGGCCTGCTAGTTCCATAAACCCAAGTACTTGAGCTTTGAGATAATTTCTCCCTCCCTGCTTGCTTCCCTACATATCCAAATACAGTAGCCCCCTACATGCCCCCCTACATATCCAAATATAGCAGCCCCTTCATGTACGGAGGGTACGTCTCAAGATCCCTAGCGGATACATGAACCTCAGATAATACAGAAACCTATTTACACGATGAGTGTAATGTAGGTGGTTGCTAAGTGGTTAGCTGGTGGGTAATGTATGCAGCATAAACACGCTGGGCGAAGAAATAACACATCCTGAGCAGGATGCAGTAGACAGTGTGAGCTTTCATTCATTCTGCTACTCAGAATGGCATGCAATTTAAAACTTGCTACTTGTTTATTTCTAGAATTTTCCATTGTTTTGGATCTTAATTGACCACACATCACCGAAACCATGGAAAGTGAAGCCCCAGATAAGGGAGAGGTGCAGTAGTTCCTGTGACCAGGAGTCTCCTGATGCACACGGGGTTTCCTAGAGTCCAACCTGTCCGTTAGGGTGGTGTTAGGACCGCAGCTACCACCTTGCTGGAAACTCCTCTGAGGTACTAGAACTAGGTCAACTCTGACTTCATTTAGTCTACTCGTTCTTTGTTTTAACTGAATCATACTTTTCAAAAATTTTTTTTCAGCCAGTTGAGATCACCTAACCTTGAGATATTTCATTTAAATTTTCTGACTTTTTGCCGTCTCTTGAAAGGAAAACATACCTGACAGCCCGAGGCCTCATTCCCCTAGGGCAGTACGTGGTGGTGGCTGAGCAGGCTGTCCCTCTACACCAAGCTGTCCTGCCCAGCTGGTCACAGTAACCATCCCTGCTTGCATCCCTCCACTTTGCCTTCTTCACTCTGCCCGCCCAGCCATGCAGTAAATCCTGGAGACACTGAGATCCTTTAATGTCTCTCTAGCCTGTCTCTTCCTATACTGCTTTCAATACTTGTTCATTATGACCATTCTGCCCACTCCCGCCTGATCTTTCCCAGGTTGTTTCTATCCTTTTTTTAATTGAGAAGCTAAATAGCCAGCCCCTGTGCAAAGAGGATGCAAAAAATGCCAGCCCAAGCCAGTACCTTAACGTGCCGGCTGTCCAGGCCCTTTGTGTATTCATCAAACTCCACCCCGACAGTGAAATCCACATCATAGTTGCGGAATGTGCTTTGGGTCTTTGTCTTGAAGTTATCACCATCTTGATCAATGATCTTTGTCTGATTCAGCCGTACTGCGATCTTGCGGGTGGCAAAATCAATATCTGTTGGCAAAAGGGAGTCGCAGAGGTTATGATGTGCTCAGTGAGATTCATTTATTTCTTTAACAAGGCCAAATCACTCAGGACCAGAGACACAGATCATAGGCTGCATTTCTTTGCTTAAGCAAGAAACAAGAGCATTGGGCAACTCAGTCCATTGCCAGGAAACTGAGGAGCTTCCTGGCATCCCCATGGGAGCCCTGATGGGAAGGAGTTGCAGCAGGTGAGGTGCAACCCTGAGCTACAGCTCCCGACTCTTTCTCTGTGTTTGTCTCTGTCTCTGTCTGTCTCTCTTCCTCCCCACCACTTTCTCTTTCCCTTCCTCTTTATCCCTGCAGCTCTGTTCTCTCCAGCATACTGGATTCCTCCTGAGTTCATTGTACCAATTTCACGATTTTAAAGAAAAATGCTTTGGAAGTTACCCGTCTCAATCATGGATAAAGATGAAACTTTACATAGCAGAAAGAACTTCCATTTTTCCCCCAGGTCTGGGGGATTGAATCCAATACTCACTCTACTCAACTTTACTCCCTTTTGTTTTTTATTTTGAGATAGAATTTCATTAAACTGCCAGGCAGGACTCAGTTTGTGATCTCCCTGCCCCAGTCTCTCTATGTGCTGGGATTATAGGTGGACACTAACTTCTATTTTTAAATTGGAAAGTAGACTTCCTAAAATAAGACCATTCTGCCTCAGTTACAAGCCCCCAGGATAGTTTTAAGCATATTTTAGAAAATAAGCACTTGCTCAGAGATTTTCTTTTGTTGTGTTACTCTTGAAGCCATTACTACTCTTGGGCTATAACAGAATCAATCTCAGTATTTTTAAAAAACCCATTAGATGGCTTTTCTAAAAATGAACAAAATACAAGATATAGACTGGCCGCCCAAGATATGTGCAGAATTCACAGGCATAAATGTGAATTTATACCTGTGAATACTAATTGTTTACCTTTTTAAATAAAAAAGTTAGAATGAATCAGAGCAGAGAGAAAGCATATGAGGAGCCCCATATGCTCATGATCCAGATTAAATAATGATTAGGAGTTTCCCACATTTACTCTGGCTGCATCTTTTCTTTGCCTTCAGATTTTGCAGCAAATCTTACTCATTTCTTAGCAGTCCTTAGTACGTAACCGGGAGTGTGCCCTTCGGGGAGAGTGTTCAGTGGCTAAAGCCCTGCATGTAACAGTAAGCAGCTCAGTAAGAAGTAGGTGGGTAGTAAGCCCACCTACTTGCTAACCTCTGGCTGTTCACAGAATGTCACCCAAGCCAAAAAGTTGCTGCTCTGCAAAACAAATCCAGAAATAGAGTAAGGTTCTATCCATGCCATAAATAACATCAACTCTTAACCTTTAGGCAAATCATATTTGAGTACATTTATGCCTGTGAATTCTGCAGATATCTTGGATGCCAGTCTAAATCTTTCATTTTTTTTTTTTTAAATATACACCTAGAGGGTTTGCAAAAAACATGGAGACTGATTCTATTATAGCCCAAGGGTAATAATGGCCTCCACAATAAGAACAATTCAGATTTATTGAATGCTGCTTCACTGAGCATTCCAGCCTTCTCTGCGGTGACTAAATTTCATATTGTGCCTTGTCTGGTATGGGATAAATATATGTGTCCATAAGAGAGGCCAGCAGGTAGCAACAGTTCAGGTGTTCCTGTCAATTTGGAGCATTAACACTTTGCTACTCTTCCCATGGTAAAGCATCATTCCCCAAATAATTTCTCACCCATTTCCTTTTGAGTCCCCCACCACTACTAATTCTCTTTTTTAAAAAGACAAAGGAGAGACCAAACTGGCTATTTGGACCTCACTTTGGGCCAGTAGATTGATGATAGCTACTGCAGCAGTGAGTAGAAACACCAAAATGACACTCAGGATTTGGAGGCAGATTTATTTATGTCGACGGGCACTGATCAGGATCATTCCCAGAATATCAGGCCACAGTCTCTGGTGGTCTAGGGCTTATATGAGATGAGCAAACAGGAAGTACAGAGGCAGAGTGGCTTGTCAATGGGGAATTGGTGTATACAATGTGCATCATAGTGACCAGCTGTGCATCACAGTGACCAGCTGTTTCTAAGAGACAGAGGCAACTGGAACTGGAACAGGAACTGTTACCCAGGCAACTAAGAAACTGAAGTATACTGGCTGGCTGGGGGGGGGCATATTCTGTTACATTGCTAACTCACAATGGATTCACATTTGCACATCTGATTAGTCTTTTGAGCCCTAATTGTATGAAGTCAGATTTGAGTGTAAGGGAATAATTTTAAGTAACATTAGCTAGTTCAGGAGGGAAAAAAATCACATTGCCTATACCTTAAATTGAAAAGAGAAATAATTATAGCAGCCATTGATAATTTCCTACCAATCTGTCCATAACTCTGCAATGTTTCTATTGTTCCTATGCTATTTCATAAATGGATGTATGTTTATTACTATGTGTTTTCAACAACAACCATTCAGAATAGTCAAGGATTATTTAATTGATCACTCATGTAGAGCTCTATTTGTTTTCCCTAGAAACCACTTTGAAGAAACCAAAGTATAGTACAACAACCATTGATAATTTCCTACCATTTTTAGTCTGTAACTCACTATTATTTGTCTGTTTTCCTGAGAAACTATCTTGAAGATACCAATAGGTAAAATAACAACCATTGATATTGTTCTACCCCTTTGTCTGTAATTTGGTAAATCCCCCTATTACTATGTTATCCTTCTTTTATTCTTTTAAATAAAAAAAAAAGAAAAGAGAAATAGGTCAAGTTGGCAGGACCTAGAACACAAATGTCAGGGCCTCGCTTGCCTATCATCCCCTACTATTTATGCTATTTGTGGGGTGCTTTGTTATGTCTCAGAATTCACCAATGTGTCCCAAAGTTAGCTACCCATAAGATCACCTGGGAAAGTGTAAATATTGAGGATTTCTGGGTGCTACGGTAGGCCCAGAATATCTGGGTGGTAGTCTGGTGATGTTAGATCTTGGACTTCCTCATAGATTATTTGGAAAGATCATCCTGGTTTAAAAAATTTGAAAGCCACTGTTCAAGTACCTGTGCAACAGGTCAGAGGTGTGGGAGTAGATGTCTAGAGACTTGTGTGAACATACACAACCTAAATAGCAGGGGCTTGGTGATTAAATGGGTGTGTAGAGGGATCATGTAAGGAGAAGAAAATAGTAGTTTTGAGTTTGGATGACTAAGTTGAGATCCAGGGAAATAAAAGAATTAATTTTATGGGGTGCATAGTAACTAAATATATATAAAGTAAACATGGAACATTGATAATTTTGGGGGTGGTGACTAAGATACTCTTTGGTAAATATTCTTTTTTTTGGGGGGGGGTACCCGGAATCGAGCTCAGGACCTTCTGCTTGCCAGGCAACGCTTGTGCCACTGAGCTATATCCCCATCCCTTAAGATACTCTTTGGAAACTACTAGAAAAAACACCCATGACTGAACCTTTTTTGAGAAGTAAAACCTTGCTTCCCTCATCCTCCATACAAACACACAAGGTAAATACTGTATTATCTCCAGTTTACCAATGAGAAAACTGGCTCAGAGATGTGTCTTTGCCAATTTCACAATGATGAAGCAGTAGAGGTAGTACTTGAACTCAGGGCAGTCTTTCTCTAGGGCCATGCTGAGCTGCACAAGTGTTGGGAGATCCCAGTTAAAGCCCTTCTCATTTGTGTGCTGTACGGCTGCTTGCCACACAATAACTTCAGACTTGTTAAATTTCCCCCTGAGGACACAGGACTTTTGGATCCAGTAGACAAGTCTTTCTATTTGAGACAGGGTATGATTTTCAGGACTCTTGCATGCTGTCCCCTTCAAAAAGCAATTGTTTCCTGGGCCTAGGGCTCTCTATTATAAGTCAGTGCTGGCGCAATCCTACCTGGTGTTTTCCCTGACTCTATCCCCTGGACATTCTCTGAGAGCTTGCTTAGCTTCAGCTCTGTGGCTCATGGAATGTTCATGAGCACAGTGGAGCCACACAGTCTGCGAGCCATGGCACAGGAGGTGACGTAACGCTTCTCCACTGTGCAGTGAGCATCTCCAGGCTTCCCAGCGGTCATGCACAGAGGCCGGGGCTCCCGTCTGTGTTTGCCACAGGACTCAGTTCCAGTAGGAAGGTGAAGTGGTCAAATAAGTGGACTCGTGGTGAACTAAGTTTGGAAAGGGAGGAATTAAAACCAGGAGAAGCCAGTTTCTGCACTGAAGACCATCATGGAACTGCTTGTATAGGAAAAACACTTTGTGACTCCAACAGAGGGATTCCATGATGCAGACTTCTGCAGACTGGGGTGGCCTAGGGTAACTTTGTGTGGGGCGCCCAGCTTGCTGGGTGTTCTGCAAACATGACATGGAAAGGACTGAAAAGAGCCTTTCTGGGGTATTTATTTCAGCCACACCAGCACTGAAATCATGGACATGTCTCCTGTTTTAACTTTTCTCCCTCAAGGTAACTGCTGGCCTGTTTAGACAGGACAAAGTGGTTAAGTATTTCTAATTTAAAAAGGAATACTTTATTTTTTAATTTTTAAAAGCCACTAAAGAATGTCTCCCATGTTCTAGTTAATGTAAATGCATGCTTGTGGGAAATAAACTAGCAAGAGGTGAACAGGTCATATTGCAAGCCGTATTTCTCTCCTTTATCCCAGAGACACAGTTCCAGCAAGTCAGGTAACCCCTCTGTGTCTAATTCTAGTTTCATGACTGGACACAGAGGTTCAGATCTGGAAGCGGTAGAAAGCAGTGGTCATGGTAGAGCAATTATTAACTGGATTGGATTATTGCGGTATTGACGTTGGTAGTGTGTGTGACTTGTGGCTAGCAACCTGGGACAATGGCTCTACAAATAGTAGCTGCCACCATCACAAGCGTGTTAGTAAATGTGAGCTCACAGGCCAGTTTCCTCAGTGACCCACGTATTTTTCAGACGTTTCCTCAGTCCTTGCTGCTCTCCTGCCAGTCTTCCATGT